GGCTTATGTGAATAATAAGTTTGACACTCCTTAGTTATACATGCTTCAAAATTGACTTGGGACTTGGCCTAACTAACAGGCTAAACCAACGGTTCAACTTAACGCTCAGTCTAGCCATGCTGGGCTGGACCGCTCGACAATTCAAGGAGTGGGACTTGTCACCCCCTTATCCCCACTTCTTCTATTTCCTTTTGCGCTATATATGTGTCATTTTGAGGCTTTGCAGTTCATATTTGGTGTTCCATACCTCAAATTTCCTGCAGCCATGCATATTCTCCCTTATTAGGGTTGTATCCAAAGACGGTCGGTGCTTCAACTATATCCTACTCCGAGGTGGAATCTTGCACTGTCCGACATCCTCCCTATGTCGCCCAGGCCCCAACTCCCTTGTTGTTGTTGCTCAGCCTCCCCAAAGTCATTACAGTAGCAGCTCCACTGTGACAGACCCCTCTCTATGTCGCTCAGCTTCACCTGTCCCTTTCCAGTTTCAGCCCTACCCATCCGCTCCTCCCTGCTACCGCTCCTTCTGCCTTTATGTGCCTCCTCTGCAGCCAATTATCCTTCCAGCAACTCCACGGTTGTCTTCCTTTCTCCCTTCCCGCGCCTTCTCTCTCGCAAACTCGCCAACTCGCCACCAGCAACCTCCCTGTTGCTACCCCAACCAGTCAACGTCTATCTTATTGTCACCTCCTAGCTAAACTCTACCATTCACCCAAATGTTGTCATAGCCTCTCCAAACCATCCTACACCAATTCTCAAACTTTCTTGATAACGGAGGTAACCCAAACTGCAACGAAAACACAAATATTATTAATGAATTCCAAACATATTACAAACATGACATTTGAAAAGCAGAAAGTAACGACAAACAAATACGAACAACAAAAACAATAAAAGATATCCACGGATGGGTGGAGGCTACTAGATGGTCGGTTGACGGCTGATGAAAGATGGTTAAGACTGAGGGGAGGTGGCAAGACGGAAGGGTTGCCGCTGGAGATGGTTGTGGTTGATGGAAGAAGCCTGGATGGTGGCTGGCAGTTGGATGGTCGGTTGACGGCTGATGGAAGATGGTTGCAGCTGAGGGGAGGTGGCAAGAGGGAAGGGTCTGTCACTGGAGATGGTTGCGGTTGCTAGAAGAAGCTCGGATGGTGGTTGGCAGCTGTAGAAGAGTGGTTTTTGTTGCTGGAAGGTGGGTGAAGGCTATAGGGGAGGACCTCCGGTTGCTTGAAGAGGGTTGTGGGATGGACGACAGCAGGAAGCAGCGTCCTTGAAGGGTTGGACAGCAGCTAGAACATGTGTCAGTGGCTGGGCTGCAACAAGAGGTAGTCTGAACAGCACCCGGAAGAGGGGTGGCGTGGTCAGGACAGCACCCGAAAGGGGTATGGTGTGTTATGGGCTGCAGCCGGAAGGATAAATGTCTTTTCGGAATTAAACCACGCACGGAGCATCACCTAGACCCTTGGAGTCGATCACCGCCTCGGACGAGTTACAGCCGGAGTACCTTCTCATCGTCGGGTATTGCCCCCGCAGGGAAGAACATCTCAATGGCAGCACTCAGAAATCTACACTCATCAAAAACTCTCCTCTTCCAATCAGCACACAACAATTATAAATAAGATGGGAGTAGAGGCTAGACTGGGTAAGTAGAGAAAATAGGCAATGATTAAAGAAAAGTGGACCGGAAAGGTAGGAATTTGAAATGCAGTCCAAGTATGGAGGGACGGATTAGGAATGGGGAAATTAGAGCAGAAGAATCGAATAGGAAAGGAATGTAAATATGAAAGAGGACTGTGGTTATTGTAGCAGCTACAGCAGTACTACAGGCGGTAAGCTACCTCACCATTTCCTCTCCCCCTAGAGACCCACTTATATGTGAATTTATTTCTAGTTGGATGAACCCTTATTATGTTTCTTTCTATTTCTCAGTAAAAATAATCAGATTTTCTTGTTTTTCATAATAAATATGGTATCAAAAATGCTAATAACAGTGAGTAAACTGCGCACAATTTCAAAACCTTCCCATGTGTCTTTTGATATGAGTTTCATATTGAATTCATGGTTTAAAAAGTATACAAGCTAGCAAAATCTATAAAATTATTTAAGCAAATAACATACATGAAAATTAAAACCCATATGCGCTCCACCGAAATGAAATAAGTATTTAAAATTAAACGATCAGAGAATGTTGTCCGAGTTAAAAAGAAATTTTCACTCACTTCTTCAGATAAGAGTGCAAGTTTCATTAGAAAAATTTAAGATAATTTTAAAAAGAAAGAACCCATATAGACTAAAAGTCAATTCCAAAATAATTAAACTACGAATGATGTCAATCGGGACACCCTCTCGAGAGGACAAGGGATTTAAGTTTAACACAACTAGTTCGATCCTCCTCTCATGGATTGGAGTTGATGAGTTTGGTAAATTTAACAATAAATGTCCAAATCAAAAAGATAAGAATTTACAAGTCCAAATTACCTAATTTTACATCCTTCTTATAAGAAAACAAGTCCAGAGGAATTATTTCTTAAAAAAACCTAAACGAACAAAATCAAATACCCTTCAAATATAAAAGTTTTAAATATTTAAACTACTAATGATGGTCGTGTTGACTGAAAATCTCAACAGAAGGATCAACTTTTAAATCAATTTTCAAATCAAATTCTAAAAATGGCAAATCAAAATACTGAAATTAAAATCAATTACCTAGAAATTTAAATCACATGAAATTTAAATATTAAATTTAAAATCCAATCATTTAAAAGCTAAAAGCAAAATTCATCTACTCTCCGCAAAAAATTGTCGGGGATGAAAAACTTTTGATTGACATTAGATCACAAGAGAGCTAATGTCACATTGAGAGAGCTAATGTCACATCGACTGTACAATTAAATTCACACTTAGGTTTGCGAAAAAAAGGTATGTAATGTAAATATAATATATTGTATTTGAAATACTTTTGAGTTGTTTGTTTTAGCATAAAATAAATGCAAGACTTTATATTTTATTATTAAATTTGAAACAAAATGAATTCAATGTAAAATAAATTTGTCAGCAAAGTCAAAAGCCGACAGTGACTGATAATTGGGGTGGCAACTATGGCTGTCAACAGAGGCAGGGACGGCCATGCGCAACGACAAACTAAGGGGACACTCGACGGAGGTAGCAGTGATGACAACAACAACAAACAAGAAGCACGTGACTGGCAATAACGACAGAGGGCGACAGGATGCAGCTGGTGCGAGAGAGGATGAGGGCAACAACTAGGGGCAACAAGCGAGTACAGACAGCGGCCTCGCAGACAGCGAATACAGATGGCGACAACTAGGAGGCTACAATCGACGAACAAGTGGTGATCGCTGCGGGGGCAACACTTTACACAATACAGTATATTTGAAATTTGCTAAATACAATGAATTTCAATTACATTGAAATTTGACAACATAATGAATTTCAAATGCATTGTAATTTTATACCGCATTTAGTTTTGTTCAACCCGTAGATTTCCAAAACTAGTGTAAAAAGGAATATAATGTGCTCATGTTGTCAACCAAACAACCCCTTATTTATTAGAAATCCAACTCTTAACTTTTATTGCAATATTTTTTAATTATTGAGGATACTCTCCTACAATATATTTTCCGATATTGTTCTTTTCTATTTGCCTATACTAAGACATGCTTGTACTAAAGAGACAATTAAGTAAAAAATGTATGTTATAATTATCTTCCCCTTTAAAAAATGTATGTTTAGATCCATTGCATGGCCGCATCAAAAATTTGATAAACATTACAACATTAAATTGCACATCTACCTTTCTCCTCTTGCCTAGCTTACTTATCATCATTATCATCAACATTACAACACTAATTAAATTTACTGTCAAAACAAGTGGGGATTGAACTAATTAACTTTTATTCATAATTATTTCTATATAAAATTGCATGCCTTAATTCTTAAGGCAACAAAACCTCTGCTTAACCAATCTATCGTCATATTCCATTCATATTAATTCAGTATCATGCATTATTAGTTCATATTCTAAGATTTATTCATTTGACAACATAGAGAACATGAAATTTGAGATTTAGACATATGCCATCTGGACTATTCACTAAGGTAATACATTAAGATCTAAAACCATAGTACAAGGATTTAAAATTCTAATATTTGTAATTCCTGCAGTTTCATTATAGCATAAAGATTAATCACATGAGATCTTATTGAATGTAATGTAAAAGAAATTAACTAAAAAAATAAGATAAATCCATGTGGATGGATATCAGAGACCTAACGTGAAAATCAAAACATCTCAAACAGCATAAACACATTGTGAGTATAAATAAGTAGTGAAATTCTAGCCCATAACTTCTCTGGAATACTAATGTTAGCTATATTTAGCATGCTCCATGGCTAGCACATGTTAATAATAGATGATGGCTTGGTATCTTATCTGGATATTCAAAAAGCTAGTCAGAAGATATTTCCAATATACACAATTCCAGATAGAGCATATGATTTGCAAGTACCGGCAAAGGACAAACAATTTCCTACATCTAGCCCATTTCGGCCTAGAGTCGAATCAACATATTTTTCCTTTAGCAAGAATGATCTGTTGTATTTCACAACATTTTCAAGAAAGTTAAACAAGAAAATATACAAGAATAGAAAACTAGAACATTTCTATAAAAAATGGATAAATAATTAAGGAGCATTTACATACATAGCACACAATTCTTATGTATTTACATTACATATCTCACATCTAAACATTACTATTTACACACAACAGTCAAAGCTTTAACATCGCATCAAAAACAGCACTATTACAGCTTTTTATGCATAGGTTTAAAGCACCAAAATATTATGTATGTAAATATGAAAGTTTAGATGTGAGATAAATAAATACATAAGAACTGTGTGCAGTATGTAAATTTTCTAAAAAAATAAATCAATTGCCTCAGAGAAAATCAAGTATTGCAGTACATCAGAAATCATACGAGTTTCTCAATGGCACCATAGCTCGAAGAAAGCAGCCTTGCCAATGAGCTCTTTCTCAACTGTTTGTTTGGAACAGAATTAAGAGTGAATGTTATAGCACTAACAAGCTCAGCCTCCTCCTCAAATGACAATATCCCCTTCTCAAAATCCTAAGAACAGAGAAGTTCATTAATGGCAATGACCATACAACATAAATACAGGATAAAAGCATTTCACCACCAAGAAGGAAAAAAAAAGGAAAATTTCGGAGCAAATATAGCGTTCCCATCATAAAAGCTCAAAAATTTGTAAGGTTTATCAGTATAATAGTTGCATTCCAACTGTGGAATCATTCAAAAAAAAAAAAACTGATTACTTAATATGCGAATGATTGGGCTGATGCAGTAAGTGTAAGGGTTTTAAGGATAAACAAAAAACATAGATTGATAACACGAAATAAGATTTTCTTTAATGTGGAAATGATAATTAGAAGTCATTAATAATTAATAAATGTTTATTATTATTAGAAAATAATATGATGCTTACATGTCATGGGTTAAAAAATCTTGAATTATTATATAAAATATGGGCATAATTTCAAAAATAAAAGACTAGTGATTAAAGTAGAGAATTAACTTAAATGTACCATGAAATAAAAGAACAGCTTGTGAGTTTTAAAGAAACATTATAAAGCTATAAATTAGACTGCCTTCGTTGCAAGGATTCCAGTTTTAGGCAGAAACGAAATCATTGAGACTAATAAAAACTAATTGTGGTCGAAATTATAATATTAAGAAAGCAAAACTCTAAAGAATGGAGTGAAAAAAATTTTATTTAAGGGAATGGGGTTAGCACACATTGATGAAAAAGTTGTCCAAATAGACTGAAATAACTTGGACATATAAAGAGTGAGGTAGAACATGCATCAATAAAACAAGTAAACAGATTAATTAGATAGAACAGAGTGTGGGCTCCAAAAATTCTGATACACCCCGGACTCTCTAATTTTGTTGGTTTAGTGAGAGCCTTGAGGGTCATAACTTTCAAAAGGTAGATGAAATAGTAGATAAGACAGTACCAATAAATTTTCACCTCATTTTGCGTGGAGTTTTTTTTATCTGGGGCTCAATTTTTCCCATAGGAGCAAGCTTCCGTAGTAAATTACCCCATGTGAGATTGTAAGAGAGCACTTTTGATTAAAACTCGTCATTTAAAGTTGAATATTTAATACTAAATAATCAGTATATTGTAGCAAAAGACTTAAGAGTAAGTTGTAAAATTTATCACTTTGAGCTTAAAACAGATGGTTGGGGAAATGATGACAAACTTGATCAAGATCATGTGTTTCCGTCATCTCGGGTCATGGTGGTCCTTGATCTACTTAGTCAGAGGATTCAATCGACCCAACCTAACTAAAAGATCTTTGTCAACAAACATGAGTTGCATCATCCAAGGGACACTTGTAGATTTAGGGTGAATGTATGTCTAAGAGGACAAATTTAAGTCAACCTTCGAAAACAAAAGATATTGTGTCAATCAAATGTACTCTTATAGTTCACAACTCAAATAGCAGAAAACTGTTGAGGAATATACGGGTTGTTGTTGTGACTGTAATATTAGCAAAACCACCGGGTCAGAGGGCTATGGTCGTAACCACTATTTTGGGTTGTCATTTGGCAATAAAATTAAATGGACAGAGGAATCAAAACACGTCCTTACTAACTTGAAATTACTTTGAATGTGAATATAACGGTACCCTCGATATGATATTAGCTCTTTTGTAAGTTGAAGTCAATCAAAAGTTTGTCATTCATGATAAAATATTGTAAATAGTGGATGGAGTTGCTTTAAGTCATAAGTGTTATAATTTTAACTAGGGTGTTATTAATTTGTTAATTAGTTTGAATATCGGTCTGAATTAAGCCCTCAAATCAAGATTTTCAGTCAAGACAGCCATCATCAGGGATTATATTTAAAACTTATATATTTGAGATTAATTTGAAATTTATCAATTTTGATATCTTTAGTGTGTTATTCTTGTTGACTCCAGCCCTAACAAAAAGGTGGATCAGACCAAGTAATTTCTTGCAAATTTTTATATTTGTGATTTGGATATTGTTAGAACTTGTTCGAATCGTCAACTCCAGTTCTTAAGAGTAGGATGATCAGACTAATTGGGTGGGACTTACAACTTCATTCTATAGACAAGGTGGCCTGATTGATTGCTTTTCAAAATATAAATTGTTTGAGTGCAAGTTTGGCCTTTAACCCACGCATCATTCTTAAGTTATTCATTAAAGCATTTATAACTATAAGTGGAGCCTATGGGATCTTCAATTCCGTACATTTCAATAGCTCAAAAGATTTTACAAGTCTTAAGGATTTGCATGATCTTTTAAACTATGAATTTGATATTAAATTTGCTTCAAGAATAACATGCAGAATTTTGATATTGTGCTTGACATATTTCCTTAAATATCTTAAAGCATTTAAAACTCCATAGTATCCAAATTATCATTCATATAAGTCATAGAAATACTCGTACATATTTCAAAATATTGCAATTAACTTGAGAAATTGTCCTGAAGTTTGAATAAATTTTGGAGATCATTCAGAACTTAAAATATTTGCAATATTATGATTTTGAATCACACAAAATTCCATTTTGGGCTTTTAAAAAAAGTCTTTTGTTCACTCGTATGTTATATTGTGAATTCGGTAGTGTGATATGATGTTCCATATTTGAACTAATCTTGTGAGCATTAATATATCATATTGTGTGCCAGCATAATATGTACTTTAAATCATTTGCAAACCTTTATTAGCTCAAATTTAAATTAATTTCATTCTAGAGGCTTATGTTTGAAAATTTCAATTTCAAAATTAATTTTCAAATCCTAGAAGTCTAAATTTGAAAACTCAATTTAAAATTAAGTTTCAAACCCTAGGAGCCTATGTTTTTTTAAGGAATAAAAAAACTTAAGTTTAATCATTTTTAAATATTGAATAAATTTTAAGAGTCTAAATTTTGAATAATTTTGACAATTTAAAATTTTTGAAATATTGGATCGTTTCAAAATAACCTACCCAATTGTGTATAAGACATGTTGGTTAGTTTCATAAGAAGCACTAGTCAATGTTGTAAGGCACTACAGTCAGAGAACAAAACAAAATATTTAACACACTATCTATAAGACGCTATGGGTCTTCAATGTGCCTGCAAATGGCCAAATCACAAGCATAAATTTCACTAAATGGGTATTTTACTTTCCCTGACAGTACTTAATTCTCTAAACAGGTACTCGCATTTCCCACAACATGTACTTAAATTCCCTGATTTTAAAAAAGATTATTTGGACAAGTCAACAATTTACTCGAATGGTACTCAAGTCCCCTAAACATTGACTCGAGCTTCCTCACACGGATGTCTTAGAAAATTATCTTAATGCCCCATTTTTATACCTTTGAGAGCACAAGTAGCAAAGGCATAGTTAAGAAGACGACGATCCACGGCGAGACAAAACAAAACATCAATACAAACTTTTTTCATTTCTTTTTCTCATTTTTTACCAACATATAATAACAAAATATGAAACCATAACAAGGAATTAGGTTTGGATGGTGTGGCACGGGTAGGCGACGACACGATGAATAAGCTGACGATCCATGGCAAGACAAAGCAAAAGAACGAGATAGACCTTTTTTTCTCTTTCTTTTCCTTTTTCTAATTTTTTTTACCAACATATAATAACAAAATATGAAACTGTAACAGGGATTTGTGTTTGAATGTGTGGAATTTTGGTATATCACACAAAGAGAGAGGTTCGGGTAGGGGGTAGGGTGCTTTCCTGCGCCACAGAAGGTAGTGTGTGTGCAACTTTGGTATAGGAATCGGCGAAGAGGACTAGGGCAGTATTAGGATCAAGATAAGAAGGCGTGAGAGACCCAAAAATTTAGATTTTACGAGTCTTTGGCGTCGGTTTGGATAGAATAGGAAGATAGGGGCGGCAGAGTTGCTCGTAGTTTTGTGTAGAACATCGGTTGGGTCTCGGGCACAGGCGAAGCAGTTCAAGTGGAATCGTGTCGATGGGTAGATAAATCAGGCAACACAAGGAGAATCGCGCAGAACAAGAAGAACGGTGAAGAGCTTCGCTAGACTGGATCGTGGGACAAAGAAATTCGAGCGGCCCTTTTTTAAGGAAGTGTCACCTAGAGTGAGGGTTCGGGGGGATCGATCATACGACATTGTGCAAGATGGCCTCATGCGTCAATCGTAAGTCTGTCGTGTGGAATGGCAAAGAGAATTGCGGCTTTGTCATGCGGAATGACGAAGAGTATCATGACTTAGTCGTGCGGACGGGCGAGGGAGAAGATGATCCAGAACAGTGAAACAGAGAGGAAGATCCGTGAATTTTACGGGAGAAGATGATCCAGAACAGTGAAACAGAGAGGAAGGTCTGAATTTCTATGTTCGAACGGGGAAGGAGTTTGGTTGTGTTAACAGGGGAGGGAACCACAGGGTTGAGAGCATCAGTGTCCATTTTGAACAGGAAGGAATGCTATGGGGTCGTGTGCGAGTTCGAAATGAGAAGGTTCCTCATTTCGGCTTAGCAATTCGAACATAAATAGGATAGCCTCAAACAAATGGTTCAGACCTGTAACTAAGCGGGAGTAGGTAACAATTTGAGTTTAATTAACTTTTCTCCTCCCTCCCCTTTTTTAATAATTTCACAGTCAACACAGAGAAAAGAGTAAACCAAAGTAACGGTTGAGCAAAAATTAAATGATAAAGTTGAAAACTAAAGACAAGAAACCAAAGAAGCAAGATTAGCAAACACGATCACAAATAAAAATAATGGTAAAATACACTTGACTCGAGTAGATGACACTATTTAGTAAGCTCAGATTATGAAGTCCTATATGTGATAATGTTTTGTATACACACCAAATATAGAGCAAGTTCAAATCGTTAACAAAAAAAACTATCACCAAATTACAGCCAAGGATTAACAAAGTGCTCAAAGAATACATCTCGAGGAACACTTAATCATGAGGCCCCCAAAAATTTGCACATTGTTGTAATAATCTAGCTATTTATAAATTTAATTAAAATAATAATATTTAGTTTAAGTTAAATAATTATAATCAAAATAATGAAACTAACTTAATAATTTTGTTTTAAAGATTTTTAAAAATAATAAAAGAACATAAAATAATAACGGTCGGTGGGGGGGAAGATGAAGGAGTGAAGAAGCGAAGGAGACAATTACCTATGCAAAATAGAGAGAACAACAGACAGAATAATACAGAGGGAGAGCAAAATAGAGGGGGAATCGAAGGGCAAACTTAGGCGGCACTCTAGGAGCATGAGAGAAGGAGTGCACGAGCAAGGCAAGTGCTAGCATGTGTGGTCTCCACATACAACATTGAATTGGTGTCTGACAGACAAGTTGGGCTCACTCAAGCAAATAGCGAGGACATGCTACTTGGCAGCCAAAACATGACCAAGATGAGGCTTGCTAGCACATTAGTAGGAAGTAGTTGGAACTTTTTTTTTTCTTTTTTGCTATTTTTGGAGTGCATACACTTTTAAACTTAAGCTTTTAGTAACTCTATATATGGTTTGAGAATTATTTCATCGTATTTCCTTATGTGTTTTGATATAAATAAATATTTGATAGATTCAAGTATCTATTTGTCACAGTTTGCTTGGACCGATACCTCACTCACTAAATCCTAATATGGGCAAATCCGGATGAGTGTTGGATAAAACTAAGTTTGAGTCGTCCTCTATCACACCTGGCGCTGACCTAAGGGGTTGACTGGGGTGTGACTTCTACATTAGTTAAAATATACATGAAAATTTTTAAAACGTACTCATATCATTCATCAAAACAGATAAAATCCTCCAAAATTAAGCTTGCAGGCCAACTCTACACGGTAACATTCAAGAAAAACTGCACACACCCTCTTTCAACAAAATTGAAATATGCAATCTTACGAAATCTGCTCTTAAAAGTGTTAAATAAAAATTAGTCAACAATCTCACTGCCATTTTAACAAACATTCAGTGTTGTTTTTTCTCCAATTTAAAAATGAGAAACAGTACCTCTCCGATCCATATAAGAACCTCCAAATTTTGAGGTTCATGAATCATACTAGGACAACCTTCACAAAGTTTGCGTAGTGCTGATGAGCAAGCAGTTGTGCATATCGATTCCTTAATCCCAGAGGCACAAAAAATTCTGAAAAGGATGATGTGTAAGTGCATAAAAAGAAGGGAAATTTACATGAATACCACACAATGTTTATGTATTTACATATCTACCACTACGGTGCTACAAACCTATACATGAAAGGTGTGTTTCACTGATGTTGGGTGCCCTTGCTGCCCGGACCGATTTGGTCCAGGGTTTTGAAGACCGGCCTGCCCCATTTAGCCCATGGAATGCCGCCCAATTGGAGTTCCTAATTATCTAGGACAAATAATTTGCTTTTGTTGGTGTTTAGGGTTAATATTTTCTGTGATTTGCTTTGGGCCAGCGGACAGCATCTCCATTTCAATTTCAAAGGGCTTTATCCCAGGGTTCTGAGTGGTGCTCCAGCTGTATCTCATTCTTGAGATGTTGTGTATCCCCTTCTACCCGTCCCTCACTCTCTCCCGCATAAATTCCCATCACCCTCGTCGCTTTCCTGTTGCTGCCGCCACCCATAAAAAAAGTAAGACTTATGCTTTCCCTCCCAGAAGCCAGCCAAACCCAGAAAACAGCAATTCCTGCT